AGCATTCCTACCTTCCTATGTTGAAATTACTGTAATTGAACTATAACTGTGAAGCTCGTCACTACTTTCAGTCCTTTATTTAGTCTTGTTACTTACTGGATTGGTTGTACTCACGCTACACCTTGAACTTCGTGTGCAGATTAGGGGGTTTCGAACATGGTGGGTGTTGATTCCTTTGCATAGTTGATCGTGTGGAGACTTTAAGGTAGTTGCCTGGCGTTTCGCAGACCTTGTCTCTCCTTCCCTATCTTTCTACTTTATGTATTTAGTTTCAAACTATTATAGACAGTACTCCCAGAATTGTGATGTTTAGACACTCACGTACTCAGTGACACCCCGATGTTGGGAATTTCTATCCATTTTGAGAGTTTTGATGATTTAAACCTGTGTTATTCTTATTTTTCATTTAAAAGAAAAAAATATGGAAGTATTTCGAAGTGTCGGCTTGCCTAGTAACACATTAGGCGCCATCACGACAAACTAAGTTTTGGGTCGTGACAGAAATAGTTAATTTGAAGTTAATAAAAATTACTCAATAGATATGAACCTCATCGCGACTTGTATCGGTGATTTCTTTCATCCGTGAAACCTCTGAAAATGAAAAATGTTGGTATTCACAAATTACTTACCTTCATGGGATTGATCTTCACTTTGGGGCTAGCAGACGTAACTATCTCATCATGAGTAGATGATTTATACGCAAGAACCTTCATGTTAGTAGCCTTACTGAAGAAAATTTCGAGAACATTGAATACCTCCTTTGTTGATCATTCTTAAATGTGAAGCAAAGACTCAAGGAATTACCTCATTATAGGGAAATCACCAATCACTGGAGAATTAACTTTACGTTGAATAACTTTGGCATTGGATACTTTTTATTATCTGCAATTCCATGATATGGATATGGAATCTCCTGATATTTCAAGTGCACCATGGTAGCTTGATAGTAAACTCAAGCTGTAACTCTGTAGAAGTACGAACGAAAGAAAATGGAATCGTTAAAATAAAAAATACTACGCTATCAAAAAGAGACGATGCACCAGCAATATAATTTTTACTGTCAAAAAATGTAAAGTTGTTAAAAGCACAATGATAGAAAATCAAATTGAGTTCAAAATAATATCTGTATGAATTTACAGAGAATCTTAACCTAATTTTTTGTATATAATGTAGTTGAAGAAGTCCTCTTTCCTCTTTCGTTGCTGGAATAAAAAATATAAATATTTTAACTTTATGATGTGGTTTATCTGCCTCCTTGAATTATCTAGTTGTTGTATCAGCAATTCTTCTTAAAATATAGAATATTATGGCTCAGATTTCAAGATTCAACAAAATAGATATATTCTGGAAAAATCTGACTACAACTTGTGGCACTAATAACTGAAGAATCAAAGCAATGTTCATGCCTTTTTGTCCTTTATGGCTAATAGTCCTTCATTTAGTTGATGTTCAAGCAGTCGTAGTTCATTCAAACCCAAACCATTAAGGTCCTTGCCTAACAACCGCCTAAAATAACAGTCAATCACATATGTAAATTTAAATCATGTTCAAGTACTAAATATCTTTAAACAATGATTTGCATAATTAACAGAGCCATACAGTTGTTTTATGTTGAGCCTTGAGAGTTCGGCTTAATACTGTCCACCTCGTTCTGTTCCTGCTTCTGCACGTGTGTCTGCAGCTGAGCCTATGGTTGTGGTTGCGGCTGTTGGTTGTCCTTATTCAAGAAAAAGGCAAAATAGAACAAATTCAGAAACCTCTACTTATAGGACCATATCAATAGATAAGGGACTGTTTAAACACGACTAAGTATTCATATTATCACCACACCCAATCCTCCACCATGGTACAAACAAATAGAAGAATCTATATATGATCCAAGTTTCATTATGTTCGTCCTAACAAACTTAATAACAAACTTTCCAATAATAGTTTAACCAAGACGAGCATAGCTGATATCTGGCAGAGATTTATTTTGAACACAATGGAAATTAAAACGTAAAAAGATTCGGTATAGATGAATTATAATAATTTTTACAGTGAGTTCCATATCAATTAAAGAACATTTTATATAGAATTTGAATTACTGGAGTTTTTCTTAGACAATTGAGAAACACAATTGTGAATACAACTTTAACAAACAGATAGAGAAATAATCAAACTACACATAATCATTTCATATATAAGCAAAATTTATGTATGTTCGTCCTAAAGAAATTAATAACAAACTTTCCGATGATAAAGTTTCAGAAACAGAAACAGAATACCGGTACTACGCATAATCATTTAATTAGTAAAGTTTATTGTGGAAATTTTATCCGTTAAACCAGAAAAGAAGAGAAACTTTAAAACTAAGTAAAGTTGAATAAGAAAAATTGCCGTAAGTTCGTCCTAAAGAAATTAATAACAAATTTTCTGATGATAAACTTATGTTACCTTTCCATCTTGTAAAATCAACTCAATGGAATATGATATTTCAGGCTTGAAACGATCCGGTATTTCCCACATTCGAATGACTCTAACACTTTGAGATTTCATTGCATCGAGTTGCTTGAACTTTGACTGATTTCATGAAATGTTGTAGGCATATTTGCAAAGTTCTGTATTTTGTGCAGAGAAAAATGGGAATGGAACAGAAAATAAAAGAAGAAGCAAATGTTTGAGACATTATTGGCGTAGGAGACAGTTTCTAAGTTATGGAGTTAGGTTTTGATGTCCACGTTTGGGAAAAGGATGGGGGAGTGTTTTTCTTTTTCCTTTCTTCCTATTTCTATGTAAAATTATTTGTAAAGAATTTTTGTAATCGAATATTTAGGTTTATAATAAATTAAATAAAAAACTAATGAAGAAATGTAGGAGTCCATTTTTTGAATAGACGATCGTGGAGTATTTTTTTTCCTTTATTAATATTTTTATGAAATTCTCTGTTAAATAAAATGTCGTGAGTAATTATATTTTTTTAGTTTTCAGGTTTAAAAAAGATCTGCCCAAAAAAATGTGGGACTCATGGTGTGAATAGATCTGCCCAAACGTGGGACTCATGATGTGAATAACTGGCCAAATTAGTGGTTTAAAATTTTGTAAGTTTTTTTCTATTTTCAATTTTTTTTTAATTTCCAAATCTATTGGAGTTTTGTCTTAAAACATGACACGTGTTGATATTTCGTTTTGACACTTATATAATATCATGGATTTGCCTCTCCTTTTCTATATTAATAGATTCTTGAGCTTTTCCTACAGCTTGCATATATTGCTCTCTTGCATATTTTCTACGCGTTGTCTTTGTAATTTTTAACTGTCCAAAGAGAATCCTATGCATGAGACTGAAAATTACTCACTTACCGTTCTTGAGAAATTTGTTGAAGAATCTTGGTAGACAACTGTAGATTTCTTTATCACTTTTAGCTCGCACCAGAAACTATTTACATTCGGTAGCCGAAAAAGTGTATAAAATTTGTATATTATTTATATATAACATACAGAATGTATATATATATATATACAAAACAAATATACAATTTTTCGGTTATTATTTTGAGAGCGACTATACAGTGTCATTTTTTCGATTTCTTTCGAAGTTTGGACGAGTACAGGTTTTCTTTAATTAAATGAAAATGTGAATCTTATGTAGTGTCAACCACTAGAACAATTGTAAGTAATATATTTACAGAAATGAGTAATGCAAACGGGAAATATTTTTTCTTCTTTTGGACACTTACAAATAAAATGGTTATTTCATTCTTTGATTAGTTAATTTAAGTTCTTAAACGGTCAACTGTCGCGCAAAATAATTGTTTGTGGAAGAGAGAAGAAAATCATGGAAAGGGTTCAAGGATGTGATAATTTGATAGTTGAAAAATACTACTCCAGCAATATTCATTCTTAGAAGAAAAGTTCATTTCCAAAGAGCTATTAACATTAGCAAAGAATATTTAGAAGATTTTTTAGGATACATAAACATACTATCTGGTCGAAAAGTTGATTTTGGAAGAAAAATATTTTATGCGTGAAAGCTTATTGTAGGGATACATATACATACTATCTGGTCGAAAAGTTGATTTTGGAAGAAAAATATTTTATGCGTGAAAGCTTATTGTAGGGATACATATACATACTATCTGGTCGAAAAGTTGATTTTGGAAGAAAAATATTTTATGCGTGAAAGCTTATTGTAGGGATACATATACATACTATCTGGTCGAAAAGTTGATTTTGGAAGAAAAATATTTTATGCGTGAAAGCTTATTGTATCCTTAATCATCTGATATTTAAAAACAACTCAAAATTTATAGATGAAAATAGAAAAAACTTATCCTTCTTTAAATTTTCTTTCAACTGTGTTATAGCACAAGTCCTTACAACTAAGCACCTTGAAGAAAATTCTCTTTGCTTTATCATTTCTATGCTTGAACACCATTTTGAACTAATACTAGATACCATGAAGAAAAATAATATTTTACCTTTTCCTTTATTTTTAGTGCTCTTGCACACCATTTAGAACTACATTTGAGCATAGACAAAAATTGATTTTGGAATGATTGAGAACTGAATGGGTTTCTAAAGTAAAGAGATTTAATTATGCCTGAACATTTACTAGTATCAAAAATGCGAAATCTACAATTACAGTTTCGAGCACTAGGAGGGCACACAAATCAGGATTCAAATATATTGGTTCTGATCTGAAAAAGAGGTTGATATCATAATAGTTGTGTATTTGCTATATATTGAGGAAGATGAGGAAAAATACTAAGATAGAGAACATGGGATTCTAACAATAAATTCACTTCCTAACTTTCTTGGCTCCTTGACCTGAAAAATAACATTTACACTGAAGCATACTGGAATATTAGATTTAGCTTAAAAGACGAACTAAAAAGCTAATCAACTGCCATCGCCATATTAAAAGCACAAACATGTATGTCGCCAACAAACCAGGATGTCATTAGACATACCACACAAAGTTTACACAAAAAGCATCAACATCTTTTGTCAANCCCACCCCCCAAAAAAAAGTAGCTAATTTACCATAAAGAGCCAACAAACAGCAAAAACGATGTTTTCATCCTTGTCAACATAACAAACTCAATAAAAGAAACCGAGAACTTTCCCACCAACATTCTTTCGCCGGGCTTCCTCATGGTCCATGATACCAGCAGAAGTTGTCAGCACAATGTAGCCGAACTGCAAGTTCAAACAAGTATGTAAGAAACGGAACAAAAGCAAAAACATAAACAGGGTATGCCTAACTAACAACTAAGACGCTTATTTCGTCCATGAGTGCAGACCAAATCTAAAGTTTTACCTGTTTACTATCTCAACTAGATAGGAGGGGGTTTCAAATCCACAATACAATTGTTCAAATACAACTTCAAAGAACCACAATTTCCATGACCAGTCACAAAGAGCAATAGCGAGAACATTCTAGCCATGGCAATATGACATAAGATTGCTCCTTTGAATAGGGAGAAGTCCCTACTTTACAGGAGAGCCTCAACTACTAGCATCTACAAAGAGGGTTTGCTCTGAGACATTAAAAAATGTAAGGGTCTTTATGAACATTACAGATGCTTGTCCGGATTACAGAGAATTGTTAAAGCTTAAGACGAACCAAAAAGGTATAGAAGCATTAAGCAAATCATGATTGATCAAAAAAGTAAAGAATCAAATTTTAAAAATGTTTATTTCACAATCTTATATGATCATAACTAAACAATCATCCCTACAATCAATTCGGGAAGCTAAAGAATAGAAGTCCTAATTTGGAGATGACCAGAAACGGAGTTCCACATATTGTTTAAAGGAACAAAGTGAATATATTAATCACCATACCTGACGAGAAGGGAGTAATCTAGCAGTCCATCCTTCAATCTCCTTAACTCCAACATCAAAGCGAGGACTAATGACACCACACTTGTTTAGCCTTCCATTCAGCTCAACAACTATCTTACCAGACCTATGATCATCAACGTACTCAAATTCACCAATGTAACCTACACATTGATACCATGAGTAAGAATATGACCAGGTAATATAGACAGTGCATAAAGCAAAAAACTAACACACCATGCTTCTGCATGACAATGAGGAACTTGATGATGACTTTTGAGGAAGGTCTAATCATGACCTGACGCTTTCCTCTCTTTTCAGCATTGTACATGCTCTTGAGAGCATCATTCAGCACACTAACCCTAACCATTATTTCCTGTGTCAAATGCAAAAAGTAATCAGGAGAATTTTCCAAAGGGTGACAACAAAAATAGCTCCAAAACTCCAAAACAGAAAAGAATCAAATTGAAAGGAGCAAATTATACCCTCAAACACCACTAATTACAGGGAAAAAAAAGTCACTGTCATTAGTAATTATAGACCAGGAGAGGACCAGGAAACTGCAAAAAGGATGACAAAACAGTTATACCCTAGTGAGTTAGACAACACGACAATAACCAATACACAGCTTCACAAACATCATAAGTACCATTCAAACACAAACTCCAAAAACAACACTTACTTTATTCAACGCCTCAAAGAATAAGAAACAAAATCCACACAGCCAAAACATCAGATATATTAAAAGCCAGGTTTGAAATGATCCATGTTACAGAATCAAGACAGCGTATCTTACTAAATAATAAGAAAGGGTCTTAGAATAATTACTGGCCAAAAATACTACTAGTAATGACTTGTGTAACGGCAATTGAAATGATATTAACTCAATTCTACTGCCTTATTTACTCCCAAAATTCCAACATTTTTATATTTCAAGGCAATGGAACACAATTTATTAGTGGTCCAACTTCAATGGACCCTAAAAAGCACAGCATAAGAGCCACGCTTAACCTCCAACAACATAGAATCAAACAACTCCAACAGGTGTCACTAAATAAGAAAATCAAAATATATTTCAGCAAAAGTAATCTAGGGTTATTCAACAACCAAAAGATGGAAGTAGTAACAGCAATGGGATCAAACATAGCTCATAATCCAACAAAATAAAATAAAATGGTGGCTTTAAAAATCATTATCAAAAAGGTTTTGAAAAAAAATGTTTCTTAAGCAGATAGAAAGGATATCATCTGAAGGGAGGTGAGATAAGAAGCACTTACACTTTGATTCGGTGAGAGGAAGATAACACGAAGATCTACTTCGCCGCTGTAGGAGTGTGGCAAAAAATGGAGGACCAATAGTAGGTTCAACAATGGGTTATTTGTAAATGGCCTAGGGTTTAGGTTTTGTTGTCCTCGACTTACGAAGAAGGCAGGTTAGTTTTGGGCTAGGATCCAATCCTTTCAAATGGGCCAAAATGTTTTTTGGTTAATTAAACAAGAGTCAAGATCACTTTTAGACCGTGATTGAAATTATTTATATTCGTTAGCCATAAAAGTATATAAAATTTATATATTTATATATATATATATATGACTATGAAGTATCATTTATTCATTAAAAGGGGTTCAAATTTGCCTTGTAGTATCCAAAATTGTTTTAAAGGGGTTCAATTTTTGCCCTTAGTAACACTTTTAGTTTATTTATGCAATGTGTTTTCCTTTATCATTAACAGATCTCCAGCATCAAAGTAGGTGGACTCCACGTGGAAAGATCTTTCAAGAGAAAAGTTTCAAATTTACCTCTCAACTTTGAATATGTTCAGGTTAGAAATTGATTAGGGGATAATAATAAAAATGAACGGATGATATTGGCAATATCACACCAAAAGTTTAACCAAGGTTAAAGTTACTCAATTTCTAATAGTATAATGACAAATTTGACCCTTTCCCTTTATTAAATGGTTATATAAACAAAACAAAACAAAAAGTATATAATAAACAAGTTCATACATATACAAAAGCTAATCTCACGCGAAAAATTAAACACAGTAGTCAAGGATCTTATTTGCGAAACCATGATTCTCAAACTAATATATATACACACAATATATGATTTACTCTAATTGTAATAAATCATATAATCGTTAAAAATAGTAGCATAATATAGTAATAACTAAATAATTTCTTTTTAAATAAATAATACAAATATAGAATGTCACGACCCGGAATTCTCACCCTTGGGACCGTGATAGCGCCTAACATTTTACTTGCTAGGCAAACCAACATTAGCTAATTTATTAACTAGTTTTAACAATTTAAATCAAATGATAACAATAAAAATCGAATAGTCTAAAATAAGGTGATAAACTACTAGACGACGTAATCCAAATACAATCCCAGAAACTGGAGTCACAAATAAATGAGTTAAGGCTGGCAAGCGGGCCGGTCGAGGCCCGAGACCGCGGATCAAACGGGCTAAACGGGCCAGGACCATTAGGATCGATTTTAGTAGGCCTAGGCCGGTCCTATGCTTTGGGCTTGTCAGGACCGGGACTATTTAGCCCGCTAGGGACCGGGACAGGTCCCTTAGCGGTCCCAATGGTCAACTTTTAAAATATATATATATATATATATATATATATATATATAGTCGTTGGACTGTCAAAAATAACTGTTGTGCTGTCAAAAATAGTCGTTGGCTATTTATAAAATAGTCATTTAAC